CAACCTTTTGTATTCAACTGATCAAGCAATACAAAGTGCCAAAAATATTATATTTAGATCACTGGTTCTAACTCATTACTAAGTCTGATTTTGTTTGATTTACTCGATTCAATCGGAACTACATTTGGTATCAGAGCGGGAATCTGATTGTTTTGATCTGATTTTCTTCTAGTTCAAAAGCTTTTTGAATCTCATTCTAGATTCAAAAGTTTCCGCACTTTTGATACTGAAAATCTTTGTAGATCTTCAGTTCTGATTTGATTCTGCATTTTGATTGATAAATTGAGTGTTCAGTGTTAATTTACTTTTTGATTCATCTTGTTAATCTCAAATTTCTCAAGCTAATATGTGAAATTGTCCGTACATCAGTAGTAAACTTCAACATGAATACTATGACTTCTTTCTCACATTTGCTAGGATCATCAACTAAGATTCCTATGCTTATTTTAGAGTATTATGATCAATGGGCAGATTGAATGGAGGATTACTTGAACAAACTTGATGAAGATCTATGGAAGCGCATTATTGATGATGTTCTTTCACCATCATCTGTTCAAAGCATTGGAAATTCTGCATCAACTCAAAGTGTTACAAAACAAACTGAAAGGCTACAGAAGAATGAGAAAAGATGCATGAGAGAGCTTCGTGGTGCTCTTCCTCCTATGGTGTATAATTACGTTCGAACCTGCAAAACATCAAAACAAATCTGGAATACACTGAAGGAAAAGTATCAGGGTAGTGAGAAGACCAAAAATTTATTCAGTCAAGCAATGTCTAATTGAATTAAGGGAGTTTAAGCAAAAAGATGGTGAATCGATCGAATTGTACTATGATCGTCTGAACGAGCTCATCTACAAGTGTAATAGGTATGGAATTACCAGGTCTACTATCGAATACAACCTTACTTTCATAATGGGGCTTCGCAAGGAGTGGAGGAATGCGAGTTTGATGATGAAGACACAACAACATTTTGATATTTCGGCTCTCAATGATCTTTACAATCTGCTAAAAGCTCACGAAAATGAAGTAAATGAAATAGCTAAAGAGTCAAAAGTCAATTTGGGAGGTCCATTAGCTTTGGTTTCAAAAGTAACAGGGAGAGTAGGTGAGATGGACGCTACTGAGAAGGAAAGCTTTGAAGATGAAGGTCTTCTCCTCAACTCTGATGACGAAGCGGTGGCTTTTTACTCCAACAACAGAGTAAAGAAGTTTTATAAGAAGCCATTCAATGGAAAGTAGAAAGTTGGTGAAATGAAGGGTAGTAACACTGGAAATGTTAGTGATGAGAAGAAGTTTGAGAAGAAAGAGGTTAAGAGTGAAGATTCGAAACAAGAGAAAAAGCTAAAAGGTGATTCGAGAATTGATTGTCACTATTGTCATTGAACAAATCACATGGCTAATGAATACATGCTGAAAAATAAATAAGAAAAGATGAATAGGGTTAAGGATGAGGCATATTATTCTGAAAAGTTGGAAGAAGTGAGGGAAAAGTCGAAAGGGATGGCACTGGTTGCAAGAGGAGAAGATGAGGATGAGGGTAAATACTAGATTTGGTCTTTTGGCTAAGATGATGAAAAGATGAGAAATCTGACATATGGAGCCATGTTTGCAAAGTTTGAGGAGGATGAATAAGAGAAGATTACTGGTCATTGCTTTGTTTCGACATAAGCAGACCAAGCACCAATGACTTCGAAGGTACGTTCTCTACTTTAATCTTCTAATATTACTTCAAGTGCTTATAATTATATGTTAACTGAGTCTGATGATGTTGTTACTTATGTTAATAATCTTATGATCTTTGCTAGTAATGAGGTTAAAAAACATAGTACTCAGTTCCAAAGGATGTTGGAGGCGAAGAAGGCTAAAATAGATCATCTAGAGTTGCAAATAATGAACATTGTGATTGATAGAGATAGTTTGAATGCAGATAATAGGATTTTGTTAAAACAAAGGAATATTTACTGTAGTTCCGCTAAAAGACTCTATAGTAAACTGACTGAATTGCATCACTCTAGTGACATAAGTAAAGAACAACATAGGAAGCTTCTACCATTCTTATCTTTCGAAAGGGAAAAAGTAGATTCAACTTCTTATGATTGTGAGATGACTATTTTTGACTTTGATAAAGTCCATGATAATAGATATCCCTACAGAATAGTGAAAATCGATGGGCATCTAGATGCTAATGATCTTGTTGATATAGTTAATAAGACTTTGACTGTAAATGAACATATCAAGATTTTGAAAAAGACTGAGAATTCGACTTTTGACTCTCAAAACAACTTTGCTGATATCGAAGATGAAAACATCAGTGAAATTGAAGCACAGGAAGTTGTTAATTGTTCTCAGTTATCTGTCATTAATGTCAAATCATTAGCTAAGGGTAAAGAAAAATCTCATGATTCGAAAATTAAAGTTGACAAAGACCAACCCTAGAGTTCGAAAAAAATTTACCCTAACCATGTGACTGTCGAAGATAGTCAGACTGATAGTGATGATGATGAAGAGGTTTTGAAGGAAACAATAGATCCAAATGTTTCGAAAGAAAAAAAATTCCTCGAATTATTGAAGATCAGGCGTATGAAGAAACAAAGAAATTTGACAAAATCATGAAAGAAAAAGGTTCTCATTATCTTGAACCTAGTTCTATGGTTTATCCAAACTTCAAGTGCACTAATTATGTTGTCTTTCCAAACCAAGTTTTTGTCACAAAGGGTAATGGAGATAGTGTGAGGACCAGTTTACCCTTTTCTTAATTGTCCCAAACCAAGGCCCAATCCAAAAGCACAAAAAGCCCAAGATTGCAACTAAAAGCCCAATATGCCCCAACTTCCTAATTAGGCCCAAAAACTATCATGGGACCAAAACCAAGGAAGCGCACAGCCTAACCATGGCCCACAATTAGAAATCCAATGGCCCAACTAGACCTAAACTCAAAAAGGCCCAAAATAGCTGAATTGGAGAGTTCTCTCTACGTACTCAAGACGTACGGCTCGCGTACTCAAACCTAAAGCACGAAGTACAAACGAGTAATGCATAAGCCTAGCATTACGCTGAGCGTACCTCCATGTATGCCCAACGTACTCGTCAGAAGCCCAAAATCAACCATTAAGTCCTTAATGGGTTAAGCTAATATGTCCAAAACATAGATTTGATCCCTAAACAAGGTATTAACCATTAAAGTTGCCAGCTTTACTCACATACATGCCTTAATTTGACAAGGAACTTAATAAGGGTGTTAATACTTGCATGGACCAATATCTTCCATAAAGTTTCCATTTTTATGAATAAGGGACCTCATTGGAGCTTAGATCTAACATCCACTACTTCTGGAGTAGATAAAAAGCTCACCTTTACATCAAAGAACTCAAAAATTCCAAAGGAACACCATAAAGTAGATCCAACCTAAATTATCATTAATGTATAAGCTTTTTACCTTATAAAGCTTGCAAATGGGAAGATACTCCTGGACTTACAAGCTCAAGCCACTCCTCCAATTCTTCCGCTTCTTCAGCTTATTCACCACAAACAACCTCAAATCACCTTTCAAGCTTAAACAATCACCAAATGCACTTAGGGTTCGAATCTAGGGTTCAAAAAGGATGGAGGTTGAAGATATTAGGGTTAGGTGACCATATAAGGAGCTTAAAAGTAGCCATTTATAGGCAAAGAAAACAGATGTGTGTAGTGCATCTTGGGTGCACGTTGGTGAAGTCGCTCCATTCGTATGTTGACATGTGTTTGTACCGGGTTGGTCCACGTACTCCCTCTCCTATAAGCTTGTGTGCATCGCAAATTGTTGAAACAATAATAGCTTGGATCGATAGAATCTATAAATGATGTGAATAAATAATAGAAACAATGAAGATCAAATATTGTCTAATGCTTATATTAAATAGCTTTATAGGATTTCAACGTGAACTTCTCTATAAAAGCTAAGTAGGGCGATACAATCGTTAAACCCTAATGTTACATCCATACACATTAAATAGTCTAACCCTAGCAACTTGTAAACATGGATGGACAGACCCAAATCGTTAAATAAGACTATTCTAACACAAAACATTTTACACAACACGTTTATAACCCAACTATTCCTCCCCCCCCCCCCCTTTGTGTCAAAATGCAAAGGAGATTCTTCATTGTTGCCTTTTCTGAACCTTGAATAATTTTGGCATCATATTCAAAAGGGTGCTTCTGAATGCGATCTACCACTTGATCATGTCCGAGAAGCACTTCTGATTAACAACATCATTTGCTTTACAAGCTTCAGTCAATCCCATAATGTAAGTCAGAGTAGTAGTTAAGTACAAGTTATTTTCCAGCAAAAACAACATGCACTTCTGAATAGCTTGATCAGTCCTCCTCTGATACCACACTGTAGTTTCATTTTCTGATTTTTCCCATCTTCATCTTATTTAGATCCTGTGATTCTTCTTCAGTTTTCAGAACCAGTTTCTTTTTCATCACAGCTGCGATTTCCACATCCATTTTTGCAAACTCTTGAATGTAGCAAATCAACATTCTATTAAGATGAGCTATTATCGGTTTTTATTTATTTTCATCCTTTGAAAAGATTAAGAACAAAGAAATCCAATCATAAGGATTCATGCAATGTAAGTCAGCAAGTGTAAAATCATCTTCAACACAATTTGCTTTAACCCTTTGAACTTAATGTTGATATAAAATTCAGTCGCAATAGGAGCATAGACCTTCACAACAACAAGCTTTTGGAAACTCCACGACTTTTATTGAGGCTTTCCATACTTGAGATAGAATGAGAAGAGCGAATGATTAACATCATAATCAAAAAGTGGAGCTTTCTCAATCTTCTCAAAGCATATGAATAGAAATGCCCAAGGAGTGATCGAAAAGTCGAGGTGAGAGTCAGCAGTATTATCAAACTCAAATGATACGAAAGGCTCTAAACAATGAGTGCTTGGATCATCGACTGCTTCTTTCTGAATTCTTTCCAAAGACCACGGAGGGAAGAGGGATTTCTAAGTCTCTAGAGTGACTTTCGAAACTCTATCTTTAGCTTCCTTGGCTTCTAACTCTTTTCGAAGTTTCATAATATCATCAAGCTCCTTCTCTTGTTTCTTTCTCACAAGTTTTTCACCTTCAAAGAGTTCTTCTTCTTCTTCTTCATGAATCAGCTTCTATTTACCTTTAGAACCAGAAGCTTCATTATCCTTCTATTCTTTAGGGTTTGGTTTAGGTTTCCGCTGTTTTGGTTTTACTCGTCTTTTTCTTGGGTTGTCTTTATTATCCCCCTTGTTTCAGAAGAACATCACGTTCCAAAACACCTTCAATTTTGTTAAGCATAGCGGAGACTAGATTGAGTTTGTTAGCAAGATTTTGTCGTACCAAGACCGTGATCAATGAATCACAAGTCTCTATAATATGTTGCAGATATTGATTGACCTCCGAAACACAACTCATAAGAACAGTTTTCTCTAATTCCAAATCATCTAAATGCCAGTTTGCGTAGTTTAACTTCAACAAAAGAACCTTAGATTTTTCAGTCTTCTGATCCAGTTTGTCCATGAGTGTTTTGTCTACTGTAAGATCGAACTGAATTTTCTCAATCTTAGACGCAACGGCGACATTGAGTTAAGAATTACCAAGTTGGATGGCGAAGTGACTGATTTACATTATCTTCTGCTCTGCTACCAGTTGTTGAAACAATAATAACTTAATTCTATAGAATCTATAAATGATGTGAATAAATAACAGAAACAATGAAGAACAAATAGTGTCGAATGCTTATATTGAATAGCTTTAGAAGAGTTCAACGTGAACTTCTCTTTAAAAGCTAAGTAGGGTGATACAATCGTTAAACCCTAATGTTACATGCATGCACATTAAATAGTCTAACCCTAGCAACTCATAAACACGGATGGACACACCCAACTCGTTAAATAAGACTATTCTAATACAAAACATTTGACACAACACGTTTATAACCTAATACACATACCTCTTGCGTTGGGCTTTCTTTGCAAAAACTTAAAAAATTCGTATCTCCTTTATATGAGTTCTGTTTTTTATGTTCTTTATATCCACACGTAGCTATCAACGAGTAGTACAACTTTCCTTTAGTTTGTATTGGCTAATTCCGAATTTTATTTTTAGTCCTCATTTTTATATAATTTAATGATTTTTCAAAAATCATAACTCTCTCATATGGTCATCGATTTTGGCATTCCTTTTACCAAAATTCCTATTTTAAAGAGTGCTACAATTATCGTTTTTGGTGATTTTACCCAAAAGTTAACCATTTTCTCCGTACCTTTTGAAGTTAATAGTTTTTAACTACGTGTCTTATTTTTATATCTTATAGAATTCATATATCCTTCTTATGAATTCAAAATTTTACGAAATTTATATTTTCGGGGTTAGGAAGATGCGTATTCTTAAAATATATAATACAATATATATGTTTCGGCGCACTTTTTTTACAACTTATGGACAATTTGGTTGATTTTTCCTATTATTCTTAATACGAAACTTTATATTTTTATCATATGTTGATATATATATATATATATATATATATATATATATATATATATATAAATACACACACACACAATGTATAAAGTCTATAATATTTGATGTTGGTCACTTTCGTAAATAACGTTCGGTGTCAAAAGTTGCAATTGTTACACCTTAGGCTGCCACGGCATGGAGAATGGGAAAGGGCTCGACTGTTTTATATTTACGCTACCACGACATGGTCAATGGAAGGCCACAACATGGCAATTTGTTGATTTGATTTTTTGGGCTACTGACCTTGAGGGTTGTCCTTTGACCGTTGACTTCTTGACATAAGTTGACTTTAGGTCAATATTGTTGGACTGTGTGTGTAGACTAGGGTTGGGCCTTGTATGTTTTGATAGGAGTGTTTTAGCATCTATTTCGAGGCATTGAGTTGTGGTTTAGTTGGTCTCGAGAGTCAGGTGAGTCTTCTCACTAAACTGTATAGGATGCTAACTATCTTTGTGACTCCTGCATGATTTATTGGGTTGGGCTCATTTGTATGCTGGGTTGGGCCAATTGATATGTGGGGTTGGGCATGTTGGTATGAAGGATTGGGCATGATATTAAGGGTTGTTCCCAATGTATGGGTTGGGCCCAACGTTATGGGTCGATCCCAATGTAAGGGTTGGACCCGTTGATTTTTATGGTATGTGATATTTTAGGAAACTCACTAAACTTTGTGCTTACAGTTTGTGGTTTAAACATTTTTCAGGTACTTCTAACTCCATACGGAAGGACTCGGCATGATCACACTGTATCCCCCATAGTTTATTCCACATTGGATATTTGGGATTTTTACTCTAATGTTTTGAGAATGCTATTACTTTTATTATCTTTTGGAATGAATGAATGAATGTTTGATTAATTAAAAATATTTTTTTGTCATGGAATCTTGGGGCATTACAGTTTTAATTATTTTTCATTTGATCAAACCTTAGGTAAGTTATATACCTTTGTTTTGTGTTTTAAGCCACAAACAACCACCACCACTGCTATCACAGATGATTTCCACCACCGTTGTCACCACTATGGTATCTAGGGGTGGGTATGTTTGTTTTACCTATGATTTGGTGTGTTGGCTGGCATTCTAAATCATTGGTGGGAACAATAGCATCATTGGTGATTATTCTATAATCATTGAATAATGATTTAATGTTGTTGTAAAAATTCGACAATTTGCCACTATTTCATAAATTCACAACTAATTCCAAAAAAAACTTTTTATTTGAAACTTGTTGGAAAATTTTCAGAAATTGAGTCCCCAACATTTCGTTAGTTTAAGAGATAGCTTGGATTTAACTGTGGTCAAATTAGCGATTTTCACATATTAGACTAAAATGATATGATCATATATTTTATTTTGTAAAAATCACCATAAATTGTATAAAAATCTTCAGAAGGAATTCCATATTTTTCTAAAAACTTAAGATTTGTAACAATAATAATATATCAGAACACTTTTGTGGAAAATGAGTGTAAGATGTCTTAAAATGGGTTATAACAGAGGGATTTGTAGTGAGAAAAATTGCATGACTTGTTAAAATTAAACTTGTACATATTTGAGATAGTTGGTTGGGTTAGAGTGTGAGAAATACTATTATGTGTGTAAGTTGATATTCTTAGGAGAGTGTAAACTTGATTATTGTTTTTTTTAATCTTACCATCACGCTGCAGGTGAGTCTTCTCTTCTTTACATACTTTATACTTGTATGAAAACACACAATGTGTTAAATGTTTGCGATAGGCTTAGACATGGTATTCACAGTATGGCTAGATACTACCATCATTTCCAATAGGATTTTTCCAAATTGACAACGAAGAATGTCCCTTTCAAGTGGAGAAATGATCAAATTGTAGAAAAATCACCATAAATTATAGAAAAATCATTAGAAGGAGTTCCATATAAACCTAAGAGTTGGAAGTACTATAATGTGACAATTATGAAAACTATCATTGATTGTGACATGACAAACGTAATAGACTAAATACTAGTCAATCTAGGATGAAAATATAAGACTTCACATCCCGTTATCAACCCAATCGTCTGTAACCTAAAAAATAAGATTCACATAAAGTTGTGTCATCATATGTAGATAATTACATATTCCGAAATTACACGTCTTCCCAATCCCAAAAATATAAATTTCATAAAAATCTGACTCCGTATAAATTAATTATGATTTTTATAATATATAAAAATCTATAGTGCACAATAAGTTACAATGTCAATAAGTTACAAAGAGAACGGTTGACTTTTAACTAATGTCACCAAAAGGAGAAACATTGTACTCCTCGACACAAAACCGATGAAACGAAGAATGCCAAAAACGGACTCTGTATGAGAGAGATATGATTTTTGCAAAATCATTTAAACAATAAAAATAAGGGATCAAAATAAAGTCAAAATTAGTCAGTGCAACCTAAAGGAAATTTGTAGTACTCGTCGATAGCTACACATGTATATAAAGAATGTGAAAATGAATCTCGTATGAAGAACTTACACAAATTACAAAAATAAGCCTTTTGGCACGCACATTAGCGCACCGCGTAGACACCTTCTAGAAGAGGGAAACGTGGACCTACAGAATTTTGACTCGTGTTAGTACCTGGATGGAGCCAACTACATGCGTGCGGAGGGCGACCTACGCTCCAAAAACCTCCTATAAATAGAAGGGTGCAACAACCAGTTTTTGCACACCTCAACTCACCTTCTGTTTTGAATTTTGAGCCTTTCTTACCTCCTGAGCGACCCCCGAGCTTTCAAAAATCCAATACCATGCCCCGAGTAGTCAAGCATGCTTGAAGGGTGAGTTCACAACCCCATATTTATGATTTTCAAATGTTTTATGGGGGAGATACTTGTTATAATACCACAAAATTTTATAAATATTACTAATTTTATAGTATTAGTGATATTACTATGCCTATAACTTTAGAATAATATTATACATTGAAGATACCCTGTCGAACATTTTAGGATAACATTATGCCTACTCGTTATGTTGACCAACCTTTAGAGACAACATCATACCTAGTTGTTATCCCGGACAACATTAAAACACAACATCATACCTATTGTTATGTTGACCAACTCACTAGGAAAGTAGTATACTAATCGCTACCCTAGCCAAACTTTTGGATAGCATGGTACCAAGTTCTTACTATACCCGAATATCCTTCCAACACAAACTATACCAACTTAATTATATATAGAATGATATATATATATATATATATATATATTATATATATATATATATATATATATATATAGAGAGAGAGAGAGAGAGAGAGAGATTAGGTATAACACAAAGTATACCACTTTAATTATATATATATATATATATATATATATATATATATATATATATATATATATATATATATATATATATATGATTTATATGGATTAAGAGCAAAACAAACGAAACAAGAAAGCAAAGCCATGATATGGCTACGTAAAAACAGCCATGATACGACTATACAAAAACCGAAGAAGCTCAAATACATGTATATGATAATATATATTAAATACAACAAAAGATAACAAACGAAGAGTAAGATACCTGGTATGACGACAGCACATTAAGGCTGAATTAAACAAGGTTTAAATGAGATGCTTCACTCTTCTTAAAAAACTAATTAGTTTTTAGCTATACCCCGACCTATAATCATGGATCTTCTCAGTAAAGTATTGTGAGGGACATTAATTAGAATCCAAAAATAAATTATAAGGAACTCATTGTAACATTGCCCATCAGCCTTAAATTGATAAGTAGTACATATATTTCTATGTAGTAATACTGCGAACATTCGAAAGAAGAATGTCTTAAGCGAACAGTTATAGGGTAGGATTGTGTGCTACTAATCCACCTCAATAAAAAGTTATAGGATAGTGTAACATTTCGTTTAAATTAAATAAATAGATAAAATTAATAAATGAACAATAGCCCTAAATTGTGAATAATTTAGCAAGTTGGTTCTGGGGGTTAAATGATATAATT